TATTTAAACTTATTTACTTGTTACCCACTGTAGCGTGTTTTTATTTTTCGTCTATTTAATTTTGATATTTATAATACATAACCGCTAAAAACACAAATTAGGGTTTGACTGTAGGCATATCATATATATATATGTCTAAATAGAATTAAAAAATAATATTTGATACATTTTTTTAAATAACCACTTAAAATAAATAATTAAGAGAAAGCTTGAAAAAAAATTAATAAAACACTAATTTACCCTAATAATGAATTACCCTATTCGTAAAATGTAGCCTTTTAAAAATTCGCTAAGCATTGGCACTGTCTGTCTGTCTGTCTGTCTGACTGTCTGTCTGTCTGTCTGTCTGCCTGACTGTCTGTCTGTCTGCCTGACTGTCTGTCTGTCTGTCTGACAGTCTGACTGTCTGTCTGTAGTAGAATATTTAAACTTATTTACTTGTTACCCACTGTAGCGTGTTTTTATTTTTCGTCTATTTAATTTTGATATTTATAATACATAACCGCTAAAAACACAAATTAGGGTTTGACTGTAGGCATATTTGTCCCTTGAAATATCTTTGTTTGTTTTCTGAAGATCCCTCTGCTTAATGAGTCATTGAATACAGGTTAGTGTTTCTGCAATATGCACAGGTCTGTCTCAGCCATGAGGAAGGAATCTAGATTAACTTCGTACCTTCATTGCAATTATCGCTGGGTTTACATTGAACTGAAGACACCAACCAAGCCTTTCTGAGTCATAATACTTGCCTTAGACTCGGGTGCAGTGATGTTTGTGCATGAACAGCCTTTCATAGCTATTGATATCAAGTTTTGGTCAAAACATCCAAGCAGATTAATAGCAGAAATGCAAGATGAGTAGGATGGGATCTAGTGAGTCATCTGACCTTAAAGTTTATCATCTTTAGACAGGCCTGCTACACACTCGTGGAGCCAAATTCTCAGGGTCTGTGTTTATGTATGCTCTGGTTAGGAGCATCTTGACAGGAAATTGAATTCGCCCTCCCTAGTAATGGATGGAAAAATTATTAGTCTGTCAGTTTGATCATTAGACCCCTAAAGATTTAAGTATTTCAAAAATTTGATCGCTTGCCATCACACACAAGTCTTCATGTCTGATGGAAGATCTGTTCAGAGCACACAGGAACATTTCAAAGCAAATATGTTGACTTAATTTCACCCCGACTCATATTTTCGTCAATTCCTAAAGGACTATTTTGGGAGAAAGATGTTGAAATCTGTGATGAATGACCACCTAAGATTAGGATGTCGGGGAAATGTGGTATTTTATCCTGTTGCCTTTTTTTCGTGGCTGTAACTCAAAGTGTTGTCTGGTCAGCCACAGATCTTCATGATGGATCATTAATTTTGGGCCTGACCTCAGCGTTAGCCGACTAGACGCAGAGGAAATCACAGCAGTCTTATTGCTCGCTTGAGTGATTGGACACATACACGCCAAAGAGCCAAGGGCCAGCGGTCAGTGTGATTTGAGTGGCTCCTGCAGGCTCTTTCTCTAAAGCTGTGGAAAGAACAGGGGTTGTGCTTTGCCTCAAGTTCAGTTTTGATAAAGAGTTTCAGTGTAAGACATCAAAGTGTCGAAATTTGGGTCAGGGTTTTCCAGTTCAGAACTGGTCTATTATCCGTAAAGTGTTCATCAAAGATACCATCCACTTGTGCGTTAATTAGAAATAGTTTTCCTGGATTGTGATAACACAAGTTGCGTTCGAGGATTTCTTGTCTAATTTCATCCTGTTAAGCACTTTGGTACTTCCCTGTTTTAATGAGACGAAAGGAAGCCCTGTAATTAGGTCCTGTGTGTCAGACAAGATGAAGTGCAGGTGAATTGCCCTTATTACAAAGAGTAGGAGAAGCACTTAACGAGACAGATATATTGCCGTTTTATGACCCAACAAGATACAGATTACTTTTATTTTTATTTTATTTTTTAAGTTATTTTGCTTAGGTCTCTCAATACATTTTTTTTAATGATCATTAATAGACCACAACAATAAAAACATTTTTTTAAATAACAGCAAAATATTATATAAATATATTGATATTACATTAACAAAATAACTTACATGCAAACGTTTTTTTTTTTTTTTTAGATAGTAAAGTAGCAAAGAAACTATATGACAGATATATTGCCGTTTTATGACCCAACAAGATACAGATTACTTTTATTTTTATTTTATTTTTTAAGTTATTTTGCTTAGGTCTCTCAATAAATTTTTTTTAATGATCATTAATAGACCACAACAATAAAAACATTTTTTTAAATAACAGCAAAATATTATATAAATATATTGATATTACATTAACAAAATAACTTGCATGCAAACGTTTTTTTTTTTATTTAGATAGTAAAGTAGCAAAGAAACTATACAGAATTTCACGAGACTGTTTATAATATCTTAATGCCTAATTGTCCACATTTAGCAGTTTAGAGTTGGGCGACAAGATGGTTTACATATGGTGATGATATAACTGCTTCAGTTTCAAAGAACTGAACAAGAGCCATTTTGTCTTATTCTAAAGAACTTATTTCCACTATAAAGAACCTTTTAAGAAGATGAGCTTTGTAAAACTCGACACATTTCAGAAAGGCGGGGCATAGTGGAGAAACAATAATGTACATTATGTGGAAAATAATGTGTTTTTTGAACCTTAAACCACATAAACACATTTCATTACACCAAATACACAAAATAATGTTCTTTTTAACAACATCATATGACCCCTTTAACAGCCATGGAACCTTTCCATTCCACAAAAGGTACTTTATAGCCAAAAAAAAAAGAGCCAAAAAGGCTCTTTAGATTAATTAAAGATTCTTTACAGTAGGAAAAAATATATTATTTTAAGAACTATTCACTGAAAAGTTATTTTGGAAACCAAAAATGGTTCTCTATGGCATCACTGTGAAAACCCCCTGTTTGGATCCTCTATTTTTTAAGAGTGAATGTTAAAGGTTCTTCATGGATCCGATGCCAGTAAAGAAACGTTATTTTTAAAAGTGCATGATATTCTGGTCCTATATAACTGAGGTCTTATAAAATTAAAAGCGCTCCTCTCCTTAACAAGCTACTCGATTTGAGATATTAGCTCAAACAATGATGGATGATGAATTTCTCAAAGCACAAACCCCTAACTACAATAGTAATAGTGATGCTTGCCCTCAAGCATGACTAATAAATTTACCTCCATGACTAAGAGAGATCTCTGTGATCACCCTGAATGTTGCGGCTTGTTCTTATTTAGCAGTGTCAGATGTTATACTGCAGCAGTTTAATTCCATCTAACTGCAGTTATTGTTGTGAAACCAGGATGCACTATGTTACCTGTCGAATTGTTACTGACTCGCAGTGAAAACCTCTACTTGCGAAAGCATCAATCATCTCCAAAAGCGAGTGATATGTGTCAGATCCC